CAACAGATAGCAGAAAGACTAGCAAGGATAAAAATTAAAAGCGTGAAAAGGTTTAAACCTTTCAATGTTATACGGGGTCACTGTTTCTGGATAAGTGAGATTTAATGCAATACTCCATGGTACTCCCAGTTGATCAATGTTGATGGTTGGATCTGGTGTTATAACTGTTCGAGCTGAGAAATCCACTCGCTTACCCATCAAGTTACCCCTGATCCGTCCTTCCTTTGCCTTAAGTCTACTACATATTGATTTAATAGGTCTACCTGATCTCTGTGTAGCCTGAATAAAAGAAGATACCTCCACAATGAATTTAACAACATGTACGAAGATGTTACATATACATGTTTAAACATATATCTTCTGAGTATCCTGTGTATGCTTCTGTGCATAAGAAACCATACCCTTGGCTGCCCAGGCAATTCATTGTCAAAATATGTGGCTATGTGGAACTGTAGCAATTGTGCGAATTCCGATATGATATGTGCAGGTGCCCCATTCCTTTCCTGTCTCCTCAAGTTCTCATTGTGCCGAATAATCATTGCCAATTGATGAGTTAAATCGTCCTGGATTCAGCAATAACATGTTATAAGAATTCATATAAATGATCCTTCGTGTTCACTTTAAATATACTAGAACAGCAGTACATAAAATTTCATAGGAGTTAAATCCCCATGTACCATTAAAAGGGAAAGTAGAGGTTGTTCATCTAAGATGAATGAGTAAGGCAATAATTCTACACAAGAAAGAAAACGAGTAAATACTTGCCTCACTCCTGGAGGAGGTATCCATCATCACAGAGGGCCTCACAGGAGGTGGAGGAATGGGAAGGACCTGCAGAATCATCCAATCCGGACGAGCATACTTGGGATTCAACCCTAACAGTTGGCAGTCCTCATCACTAATCCTCTTTAGAACACTAAGAACCTGAGATACACATAATGAAACTTAGCATCATACAACAAGGAGGATAAAATGAAGGCAGTAACATATTACATGTATAATAAATTACCCTTTCGGCAGTAAGTGTCTGCTTCCTTTCAACAGGTTCAGGAAGTTGATCCTGATCATCACTCTTCTTCCTTTGAGCCTTGTACTCAGCAATCATCTTCATGCCTTCAATAGTCAGCTTAGGCTGCTGAGCACCACAGCCACCCCTACTCTTCTTAACAGGTTCGTCACCATCTTCACCCTGGACATTAATCTCATCACCTCCGTCACATTTAGTTTTGTTTTTGCATGCATCCAGAATCTTTTTAAGCTTGTTCTTGGGATTCCTTATTTTCAAGGCTTGCTTAAACTTGTGATCTTCCTGTTTGAAAAACAATCAAATCACAAATAAATGAATGAGAAGATCCTTAAATTTAAAATTGGAAGTACCAAGAAACAAGCAAGCGGTACCGATATATATCTGAATTGCCTTAAGAAAACAAAATAAAAAGAAGAAGGGAGACCTCTCCAACACTTTAGACAAAGTAAACAAAGAAAACCGACTTCAGACTGCAACTAGACAAAGAAAACCAACTTCAGACTGCAACTTTGAAAGCCTAGTAAGGTCCATCGTCCACCTTTGGAAGAAGAAAACTCCTTTCCAACTATATCTCTCTTAATCATAAACATACACGAGTGTCTAAATGCATGACCAATTTCAACTCGTCATGCTCATACATCCTTTTGATTCGCGTTTATCCAATCATAGTTTTTATCATGTTGTGTTTTCAGTAGCATTTTGCATAAATAAACGCGAAATTCTTGCCTTCAGATACTATCTACCATTCTTTGAGGCTAGTGAATAACCTAAAATGAAAATTCCATCAATGTGATCCATGCCAAAAGATAATCAAAATTCTTAGGAACTTTATGATTCTGCAGTGACATATACTAGTAGAAATGAAGAACTCAGACCAAAACCAATATATACTATTGACCAGGGGTATTGTTACCTCATCAGCTAGGATTTTCGAGCAATTAAAGCAAACACATCGCATAATACTGAGGACAGTCTTCAAAAAACCTATGTGAAACATTGGCTTAGCAAGCTCCAAATGCCCAAAATGACCCGGGCACTCAGCCATGTTTGCAGTACAAGTTTCACACTTCATCTTCCTATCGATTGTACCAAGCCGAGGATCACTTAGACCAGCTGGCTTTGGTTTTCCCCTCTCAGTTGTTTCACTATGCTCAATCTGTACCACTGACATTTGCCTCTGTGTACACCAAACACCAATCATTCAATAAGTTACAAACAGCATTTAATTAAAAAAAGTAACAGCAAGTATAATAAAAACTTAAATATGAATACAACCGAGCTCAGTAAGTACTCCCTTGAGTTTAAAGCTTTTTTTCTTTTCAATTCTATTCTCATCCACCAAAAACAAATGATACCCCCTATAACTCATTTTCAGAAGCTTAGCAATTAAAAACTAAACCAAAAGAGAAAATATGATTTCGCAACGAGTAGAATAATCAGTACTCGTTGTGAGATCCCAAGTCTCGGTGTTCTATTTCTTTGCTGTGAATTCTCAGCAACCAAACAGACCACTAAGAAATTATAAGAGATTCGAGAAAAATTACAATCTCATCTGGGCTGAGAATGCCGAACTGCACCAGGCGGACCTTGGCGACCTCCGCCGGAGAGTAAGGAAACCGCGTGTCCATGACGATCAAATTTAGAAAACCCTAAGCTGAGCTAGGGTTTCAGAAAGAAGCGAGAGCAAAAATTTGTATTGAAGAAACGTTTTTGTTTTTCTGTTTTAAAATTATGGTGGATTCTCTTTTTTCCCAGTTTCTATTTTCGAATCTGTTAAGTTAGCGTCTATTTGACTGAGAGAGAGATCGAGATTTCGCCCCTCCTTGCCCTCTCTGAATTTTACGCAGAGAAAGACCCAAACGAAATGAATTGGTGCTCCCCTCGCGCGTATTTATAGAGAAAATGCGAGCCTAGGTTAACCGATCTACTACTTGTTTTGGTGGACTGACTGAAATACCCTCCCGTAGTTGCGTGGCGGCCAAAACCAGAACAAACGGATACGGCGTCGTGTTATGTTGCATTATCCATTATGTCCCTCTTCTACATCACGAAGTAAGATTTTTGAGTTGTGGTATGATACCGGTTACCAGAGTCTTCCCACCATTTTATGTCCTCTATATATCAATCAAATTATAATATATTATTGTACATTTTTTTTTTAAATTAATCAAATACTTTCATCAAAAGTAAGTAAATCTTGTGAGAAAATTTATACAAATGGTTTAAATGTAAGGTGTAAATCTCCCATTCATTATTATTTTATTGTTTTTCTTGTGTATTTTTAAAGTACAAACGAGTCAAACCACCTCAATTATAACTATTTCTAAGAACATATGAGATGGTTTTCGTAGTAAGAAGATAATATTTCTAAAAAGAATAAGAAGATCCTCTCATTAGGGACGTGAGACCTCTTTATATAATATTGTCTGGGTGGATTTATCAGTTAAGTAACCCTTACAGAAAGTGACATGCAACCTAGGGTGGGCTTGCACGTAAAATAATTCTTTCATGAGATGACACGTAGTCTAACTGTCAATACAAATTGATGCTTATCAATAAAATAACATTTAGTAAACTTACAAATAAAGTAGTCTTCTAAAAGAATAACACGTAACTGAAGATAGTGTATCCTTAAGACACGTGACGTGAATCCATACAAGTAGATTTACCACACAACAAAATATGACTATATATATATCCCAAATTGATGTTTATCAATGAAGTAACATTTAGTAAACTTATAAGTGAACTGGCCCTTTAAAGAAATGACATGTAACTAAAGACAATGCATCCTTAAGACACGTGATGTTAATATATGTAAGTGGAACACACACACACACACATACACACACATATATATATATATATATACAAACATCAATTATATAACCCAAATTGATGTTTATCAATGGAATAATATTTAGTAAACTTACAAGTAAAATAATCCTTTAATTGAGTACACGTAACTAAAGACGGTGTATTCTTAAGATATATGAATCCATGTAAGTGGATTTACCCCACAACAAAGCATGACAATATATATATATAACCCATTGTTTCGGCCACGTAAGATCCTTAGCATTGGCTACCGTAGGTCGAATTAGAATTATAGAATCCTGTCTCAGGCCATGAACCTCAGTATCGGTACTGAAGTTCATTCGTATAGGATTAACAGAGTTTATCAATTGATAAATCAACCTATACTGAATTGCTATTCCATCACTAGAAGCCATTAAGTCTTCTAATCTCGAAGTATGAATTCGAAGAACCATAATCCATTTAAGATTTGGATCCGTAAGACTAACCATATATCCTGGTTTAACCGTCCCATAGGCATCCCCTAAAGCTAAATTAGCATGAAAACCGCCAACTAAAGTTTTGCTAAACGTAAGTCATCGTCTGTCCAGTAAGACAACTTGTGAGGACAAGATGTTTGAACGCCAAGCTAAATAAAGACGCTAAATGGCTTGAGTTCGATGATTTTTTAGGCCCGTTAGATGTTGACACTTGTCAACCTTTCATAATATTGGACCTATTTCGTATTTTTACTTAGTCTCTGGTTAGGGCTCAACTTCTCGTTGATTGGCCCGTTTGGCCGATGAAACGGTGTCCTTTGATCATCTCTACCCATAGAATACAAGCTTTTACTTGGGTTTAGACTTTAGGTTATATCATTAATTAACAGTAATGTTACCGTTATTGAAGAATACACACCAAATTTATATACTAAATGACGTGACGCTATTCAGTTTTCTAAAAAAAAAAAATTCATAATTAATCGAGATTATGATAGTGTCACGGTATTGAATTTGGTACCATTTTTCAATTATTTTCCTTAATTACAAATATTAAATATTTTTTATCCAATACACTAGATTTGTACCAATCAACGTTCCCAATTTATTAAAAACAGGTTAAATTATGTCATTAATTAATAAATAAGATATTTTCAACCCTCGAGAGCGATGACTTTGAAATTCCAAGCCTCGATAATGTGTGGCAACTCGCAATTGCCAACACAATACAAAGAGTAGAAGACCAGCAAGTCAGCAACACGGTTTCCAAATTGGAATGAAAAATCTTTCATCTTCCTTGATTTTATCGTTCATCCTCATAAACGAAGCGCAGAACTAAACTGAACAAAACGAGGATGGCTTCAATCTACAGCTGCAGCGAGTGCGGGAGCAATCTGAACCTGAAGACCACCCATCTCTATCCGGCCGACTTCTACTTCGAGGCGGGAAACAAGGGCTCACTCTCCTTCGCTTTGATCGATGACACCAAGTTCAGTTTCGAAAAAGAGGACAAGTTGAGACCTTTTTTTGAAACTCGAAACTACTGGGGAATTCAGCGAAACAGGACCAAGATTAAATGCAATAGTTGTGGTTTTCATGTTGGATTCATTTACGATGATGGGCCTCCGCTCACTGAGACTCCTGGCCGCGTCTTTCATTTTGGACCCAGTCAAGCCATACCTAGAGCTCCGAGATATAGGTTCAAGACCAAGGCTTTTCGGATCTCCACAGAGACTTGAACAATTTGCTCTCCTGTTCTGTTCCGTTTTTGTATTTTTGATGGGGTGCTCATTTAGATATGCTCATTTTCATTTTTAATTTATGTTATGGATTTTTATTTCATTTATCTCTGTATTCAATATTTTGATATAGTTTATATAATTTTGCTTTATACAGTTCAAGTTTTTCTGGGTTTGAGAGTAAATTGAAAAACCATGATGATTTCTATTGTGAGGTGGATAAATTTTTAATTTTCAGTGAATTTTATTAGCATCTTAAAGATTCTGTTTAATCATATGAAGTTATGATTTTCTTGTTCCGAATTTCAAAGGAGGTGTAATCTTTAATGGTATTGTTGCCCAATTATCTATTGGGTCTAGGAACAAACCAAAACCGTCCATTGAGCTTTCTGGGTTGTGGGATGGTTAATTTATTTTATTAAATATTGGCTTTGGCTTGGTGAATGATTCTGAATCCTTATCCAAAGCTAGATTCCTATTATATATGTACAAAAGAAAAGAAAATTTTATTGTACAGTGATTAGGTGCGATTGAGAAATGCTTGTTTGGATTATTGTTGACCGCCATCAATTTGCAAGAATTGGAGTTACCACATTATGGAATTTGGATTTTCTATATGCTAACTTAGTCAGTTGTTACTTGAAAATTTAGGTTACATCTACCAGTCAAAATTTCCTTCATATGCTCTTTTAGATGCAGAGACACGCTGGGGGGGTCATATATTGTTGAACTTTGTGGAAACAACTGGGCAGATTTGTGGGAAATTCTTCTATCAATCATAGTTGAAAGGTAGGTAGGATTAGTAGCTATGGGGGTTGGCTATGAATGTAATTCTTGGTGGCATTTATTTGTTAATTTTATGTCTTCTATCATATAGTGATTGCATACTGTGTATTATTGGCAAAATCAGAAAAGGAAATCAGTGAAAGGGTGTTTCGAGATGAAGCCAATAAAGGTAGAAACTGAAAGCGCTGGTGCGAAGACAAAACAGGCAGTCCCACCACCACCACCACCTCCACCACTTCCAACTGGAAGATTCTGGAAGACTGTTACACAGAGCATAACGAAGCAAGAGATTGCTAGGTTCTGGAGGCAGAAGCGCATTGATGAAGAAGATCATCTCCTTGCTGCTATTAAGGCTGCAGCACGTATCAGGGCTCGTAATTTCTCTGTAAGATCTTATACTGCATATAAGTTATGTGATCAAAGCACTCATTGGACAATCATGACAGTTAACTCTGCATAACATCTGAATGCCTTATTCCACTCTTGTTTTATTGTAACTGTTGCATATGGTTTGCCAATTACTATGACGCCTCAACAAAGATATTGTCCAGTTAAGGAATGTTACAGTATATAGATAACCTTTTGATACAAGCCTAGAGCATATGGTTCAAGGTGATTAGATGATGCAAAAAATATTATGGTGCTAATAACAATTAGATGATACTGATTGCATAATTTGGCTCATACGAAGAAAATTGGAACAGATTGAATGACCACATAGACCATGCTTTGTATTGATTGATGTAGGCTCTGGTCAAATTACATTCTAATGATCAGTTAACTGGCTACCTTTAGGGGTCAATGTTGCTGATCAATTGTGAAACGTGACCAGAGAAAAAAGGCCGAAAGGATTTATCTTTAGAAACAAGTTGTTGGAGGGTTGAATCAACAAGTTTTTCTCTTCCAAAAATTTGTACATAAATGGATGTTGTAATTGCTATCCTTGTGATAATGAGTCCACCATCTTAATATTTTTGCAAATAGCTGATTCGAAGTTCATCCCTCCCAAAACAGGTCAAGAGTGAGTGAATAGAATTCTTGAAGTAATACTATTATTGGATGGATCAGTTGTCTTCCTTGTCAATATCATATTGAAATTCTTAATAAGATTTGTAGTCACGATCACCAAAATGCACATTCACAATCCACAACATAGACACATAAACATTCCTCTTCTTCATGTCTTGCGCGATAAATCCAGTTGCTTCCCCGTGTTTGGATACTTTCTGAAAGTAAATTACCTTGCTGTGGGTGATGAATACGCCTAAGGCTTTTTCTTGTTGCTGGCACTTTAAAATGTTAGTCTATTAGGGTCTTCCATAATACTCAAAAAATTATATGCAGGTAAAGTTAATCATGTAGTTTGATAGAGGGGGTCTCAAATTAGTCCATAGTAAGCTTTTGTATGCTTAAACATTGGAGTTTTCTGATTCTAGTTAAAATTTATGATATGCAGGAGGAAGACTACAAGCAGTTTGTGGAATCCTTAAAGGATGATGAGGATAATGACGCTTCCGAAAGGAATTTGTCCAGCACCACCATTAGCAAACAAGACAAAATCATCAACGAAGTGCGTGTCGGAATAAAGGACTGGTCAGTAGAAATATCCTCAGATCTTTGGCTGTGACTTAACAGCAATACTTTCTTTCCGAAAACCAGAATTCTATGAACTAGTATAGCTGTGCAAGAAATGCTAAATTGAGTAAATATTGATCTAACTAGCATCTTTTTAACTATTATGAGCAGGTGGACAAAGAGCAAGTATGCATACCTAAACCAACCGGCCATTGAGTCCACGGATCCTCCCAAAAAACGAACTTCAACTTATGTTCCCAATTGTTTTACTTATAAACCCGTTCCCGTGTATTTTTCTTCTCTTGGTGTCTTCTAGACCATTGCAGCTGCTTCGATTGAATTTGTATCGATTGATATTGTGAAATTTGATTGTAATGCATGAATGTGGTATGTCCAACTGAGAGGCTTTTCATTTAATAAGTTGTATGCAGATGTGATTGTAATTATTCCCTTCTGAAACAACAAGAAGCCTACTAAAAGACAGACTCATACTGATATCATTGTAAAGAAAATGTTCTTTCCAGGTTTGGTTTTGTGCAGGGGTTAAATTGCTACTCATATTTTTCCATCTTTCTGCATCCTAATTTTGTAGTCCACTTCACTGTCTGTCTTCTAATTGCAACAAAAGCATGGTTGGATCCAGAATTAGGAAAGCAAAAGTGAGGATAATAATAATGCTAAGTCCATAATTCAATCTCACAACCTTCTCTCATAACCTCTGACATGATAGCTCATCATTAGTTAGCTCGCAAATAGGCATGTAGCAGTAGGACCCATACAAGGAGGTGGGATTCATTTTGCGAGCTATCCAATGATGAACTGTCACGTCAAAGATTGTGAGATTAGATTGTGAATCTAACGTTACTTGTAAGGATAATTGAAACTCCTTGCAGAAGTTTAATGTGCAGGTGATAGCCGAAGTGTCATCCTGATTAATGAACTGAAATGACTCATCACCATTGATAATTACACTTTATATATGTGGGGAAGATAATAAGTTAATAACAACTCACTTTTGGTTGATATTATTATTTCATACCAAACTTTACTCACCAATTAATCATCTGTCTTCATCAAATCACTCTTCGGGCATCTGGGCCACAAAATAATAAGCTAAAGATTGCAGCCTGTGACCTATTGGCCGATATCATTGACAATTAAATACGCTAATTTTTTTTCTAACTTTTAATCAAACTCCATTTCTTTTATCATAAGTGGGAATTGGGATTTTTCCAACATTAGTAAATCAAAGAATTTATTCTCATGCCTGTCTTTTAGTGGTTTACATTTTTTTAAACTGAGATGTTTGGGTCAGTTTATGCACACCTCGACTAATTCTTAAGAAAAGTTATCCCATAACAACTCATTGAGAAGAAGCTATCTCATAACTTCTCACTAAGGAGAAGTTATCCCATAATGACTCACCGTTGTGACTTCCCAAGTAAATCATTAACAAAGGTACTACTTATGGGCTCAACAAGAAATTGAATCTAGGATTATCGGTTGACATTTTCACAAACACTTGCTTAATAAGTCATAACCCAAGTAATTTCTTGTAATCTTTATTTATTTATTTAATATGACATGACAATTATGAATAATGTTATGCTTATAATTAAGGCATATAATCAAGCAAAATTTTTATAAAATTCATGTAAGATGATTACTCTATCTTATATTTTTTATCTGATTATATGACTTAATTGTAAGTGTAGCATTATTCCACGAGTATTAATGTCTCTGTTTTAAAAACCAGACCGGATCGGGCAGCTTTTTAGGTTCGGTTTAGGTCTTAGGGGGGTTTTATAATATTTCAAAATTATAAGGGTTAATTGGTAATTTTATAGGGATGTTTTGGAAATATGTCAAAAGTTTAGGAATTAATTGATAATTTTGGGGGTATTTTTAAAATAAATAAAAATTTTAGGGATCAATTTGAGTTTTTTTAAGGGAATTTTTGTAATATATTAAAATTTAAGGGATTAATAATAATTTTTTAAAAATAAAATTATCGCTGATGTCATTGATCCAACCGATTGAATCGTGACCCAGACAACAAAACGGGTTACTCTCTTATCCGAGTTTAAAACAATGATTAATGCCACGTTGCCACAATTCTTTGTGTTCGTCCATTTGTTCCCCATTACAGGGTAAGTAGATAAAATAAAATACTTGTCAGAATAAAAACATTAATGAATAATAACAAAAGAAGTACAGGGACAAAAGTGGAACAAAATAAAGATAAAGACAGAATTCAAAATTTTGAAGTCTTCGTAAATTATCTTGATAAAAAATAATAAATGGATAATAAAAAATAGGCAAAACTCCCCAAATCTCAGAAGCTCGTCGGTCAGGAGAAAATAACAAATAAAAAAAAGTGCGTAAGTACTTAACACTTGTACAGTTGTACGAAGTCTTCAACTTTCCGTTTCAGATCTCGCTCTCGGAATTCACAATCTAGGTTTTTGACGGATCGAATTTTCAAAATCAGAATTTCAAGATATTGAAATTTTGGAATCTGAAGAGCAATGGTGAAGGCGAGGCATTCCCGCTTTCCGCCGCGGAAATCGTCGTCATCGACGTTGATTTTGACGGTGTTGATCATGTTCACGTTCGTGGTTCTGATTCTTCTTGCTCTCGGGATCCTCTCGATGCCGAGTCATCCCGGCGATTTGCCGAAAGCAAACGATCTCAGTACGATTCAACAAAATATGAAGTACGTGTTTTGGTTTATTGTTTTAATATTTGTTATGTTTTCTTGAATTGGAGGCTGCTTTGGTAATAATTGTGGTTTTGTCTTGGTGTTTTGTTTCGTAGAGTGGTGGAAAATGATGGGAAGGGGGAGCAGTGGGTTGAGGTGATCTCGTGGGAGCCTCGAGCTTTTGTTTATCATAATTTCTTGGTAATTTTTTTCTTCTTTAATTTTATATTATTTATTTACCATTGGGCTTAGAAATGCTACTTGTTTTCCTTTGTTGATACGATTCTGCACTCATGTGAATGCTATGAATGAGCCAAGGGGCCGTAATTGTGTTTGGATTATCTCTAAGTCAAATTGAGCCGTTCATTTTGGCTTTTGTGATTGATTGCTTTTAGGAATAGGGGCAATTGGTTATGATAATGCTCGATGTGTTACACTCTTGTTTCGCACGCTTAAACAATATATGATTTGTATTAAATGATCTGGAATGTGAAATTTCCATGCATATTGTGTGAACTGCATATGTGGCCTGTTTGAGTACAACAGTTGTGTTGGTTCAACAAGAATAATGTGTAAATGGGGAATCAGGTGTTATTTATTTGCTTGTTCTTCTGAAAGATTCTATGACTTGTCAAAACTTAATTTCGTGTTACGTTCATCACATGCTGAAGATCTTTTTTTTGGCAGACCGAAGAGGAGTGTAAATACCTAATCAATCTTGCCAAGCCCCATATGCAAAAGTCAACTGTTGTTGATAGTGCAACTGGCAAGAGTACAGATAGCAGGTGCTTAATTTAAGCTAAATATGGAGAAATGAAATTCTTTTAAATCTTTTTCTCCCTTTTTGTTTATTTGTTTACTTATGGAATAGTTAATATCCCTCTCAATCTGCAGGGTAAGAACAAGCTCTGGAACATTTTTGGCTAGAGGACGAGACAAAATTATTAGGGACATTGAGAAAAGAATTTCAGATTTCACCTTCATACCTGTTGGTATGCAGTTTGAACTACCGTTTTTGCTTTGTCATTTTTATCTGCTAAAAAATAAAAAGAGTTTATTTCGTTGTTGTGAAATTGAGTTCTCTTCTGCTATTACCTTTTTTAATGCACCTATTGATTAGGTGTTATTCTCAAGTGCTATTAATATTCAATAGAATTATACACCATATCTATGCATAGAAATTAAATCTGCATATTGTACTTGAAAACAAGGAAAAAGTTAAATTTGGGAGCATATGATGATGAGGTTTTGTAATGATTTGCAAAGAAATTAAGAAAGGTGTGATGGATTTTGGATAAACCTGTGCCTTCGATCTTCTTTCTATGAAATTGAGGAAGGAAAAATCTCTTTGGTAGGTGTCTCAATTTGCCTTGTCTAGGTCCTCGAAGAATGTAAGATTTTTACTTCTTAATGTTTATTTGATACCTTTACCCTTATCCTAGTGTGAGTGGGATTAGATCCTAAGACATCTTGTATGGCCACAAGAGACTGTTTAGCTAGCTAGTAGATAGTTCTTTTAGTTACCAAAAAGAAGACATTATCATCATTACAAATTTCATTTTTGTTAATTATTTTTTCTAGTCCTGAGATCAAATTTTTTATTGCAAGGACCATAATGATCCCTGTCACCTCTATTGCCACTGTTTGGATTTAGCAGTTTATGCTCATCAGTAAAACAAACATGACTTTAATAACTTGTTTAATAAACGAGTTATATTAGGGACTTGCATTATTCTCCTTTCCATGAAGATTACTCCTGGCATCACTACCAACAGTCTGCTGCCATGACATATGTTACACCATCCAGGTTATCATAGCAATTTTGACTCTGGCACCACCAGATATAGATTTACCTTTTACCACCACCACTACATCAACTTATGATCCCACCACTACCAATGCACTTCTCTAGAACAAGCTGCTACACCAAGGAATCACTACCTCTTCTGCTCTAAACATCACCTCTACCTTTTTGTTTCTCAGCATAACTTTAATTACAGATTTATTAAGGACTACCTTGTTTACTACCACCACCCTCAGTTGCAGTAGATTCTGAACAATAAAGTAGTGTTTTGCAAAAATTGTGGTGAATTTGGTTTATGCTAAATCCGTGGATGTATTGCCCTTCCTTTCATCCAACACACGGCTGATAAAGAAATAGAGAGAAACTTGTTTCAGTTGAGTATTTTGGGTTCAGTGGGTGGTTTCTGGATGGTAATTCTTTGTAAAGCATGTCTTATGCTTCAGTTTAGTTGTTACGTCTATTTCTCATATTTGGTCTGAACATTCCTTTGCTATAACTTAACCTGACACTATAACATACAGAGCATGGGGAAGGACTTCAAATTCTCCATTATGAACCTGGACAGAAATATGAGCCTCACTATGACTACTTTATGGATGAGTTCAACACTAGGAATGGGGGGCAACGCATGGCTACCGTGCTTATGTACCTGTAAGTGACATAAAATATCTGCATTGGTTGCATTCAGTGCAAGTTCATAGTTGTATTCCTATAATTGCTTTCTTTTACATCATACAGCTCAGACGTTGAAGAAGGAGGCGAGACAGTGTTTCCTGCTGCTAAAGGGAACATTAGTGCTGTACCTTGGTGGAATGAATTATCTGAATGTGGAAAGAAAGGACTTTCTGTTAAACCAAAGATGGGTGATGCGTTGCTTTTCTGGAGCATGAAGCCTGATGCCAGTCTAGATTCTTCTAGTCTACATGGTTAGTAAGAGTTATTATAAATGCATTGCTGCATTACCCAATTGGAATCCTATTATCCACTAGTTTTTCATCTCATAATAATCTTATCAAGTTTTTCTCTGTTGTGTCACTTCAGGAGGTTGTCCCGTGATTAAAGGAAACAAGTGGTCATCAACAAAATGGATACGTGTCAACGAATATAAGATTTAAACTACTGACTTAAAAAGTAATTTTCTCAACCCCAGAGTAGATTTGAATTACAAAACTATCCACTGCATTCTCGTATGACAAGATTTATATTCTCAATTGGCAGCAATTAGTTTGTGAGTTCTTGTGATGTAGCCGTGCTTTGTAAAGTCTCGGCAATGCTCCCACGGAGTGTTGGGCTTCAGCCTTGATGCTGTAAGTTTTGATGTTCTGCTGTACCCTGCTGCTAACTTGTTTTTTTGTTTCCTTTTGATGGGAGCCCTCTCATGTTACTACCACATAGAATAATACAAATTTGAAATTTTTACGAGCATTCCAAGTCAAAATAGTTTGGATATTCAGTTTCCTACAAATGATGTAAAACCAAGAGCTTATATTTATTTAATTTTGGGATTTTTGCCAGCTTCTATGCTTTTTATTCCAGGAATTTGTAGTGTCAAAGATTCAATTAAGACTTGGAATTGCTAATAAGTAACAAGCCAGCCATCATATTTTGCTTCAACATTTTTTGGCCAACAAGAGAAAATGGATTCCTCGTTATTTGATTATTCTTATTTTCACTTTGAATAAAAGAATACCCAGTGGGGGTTTTGAAAACTATTAAAGAGAAGAGGATGAGAAAAGAATTTGCCATTGGGCTTCATTGTGATATTTTATTTTGCACAATAATAAACGGAAAATGATAGAGTTATCGAAAAGTGTATACCGAAGTTGTGCATCGAATAACGTGACAAAATTTTGACTGTTGATTAATATTAACTTATAATGAATCAACGGTCAGGATATTGTCACGTCATTTGGTGTACAAATTTGGTGCACACCTGTCGATAACTATAGCATTACTCATAATAAACACCGATCTTGCTTAACCCAATTTAAAATTTTTTAAAATTATGACCAATAAAATTATTATCTCTACTGTTATTAAAATCTAGTTTATTAAGTTGGTAATAATTTTAACAAAAAATTGATGGTTCGTCACAAGTGTTGCATGTAGGTGGCTTTTCAACTTCAATATTTAGTGTTATTGAGAAATGACACGTCTTTTGGTGCCATAACAAAATGTAAGATCTCATGTCAAGTTTCCAGAAATGTTGGCAATTTGTTAGTCAGTTCCAAGTGTGTGGTAGATTTGTTACTTTTAAAGTCTTCTGATTTAGTAATTGTTGATTCATATTTTTTTTTTAATTTGAATGGATAATTTTTTCTTTCATCCTTTATATTCACACTTACTACATTAATGATTAATCCTCATCTCATATTTGTTTACAATTATTTTATTTTTATTTACGTTATCAGGACAATAACTATGAAATTGCTTCATTCAATTCCAAATCAGCATTTGCAAATTCTTGGGCCACACACATGGAACCAATTGAAAATTGCAAAATTTCATGGCACTTGGCATGAATTTACAACTTGTTTTCCAGTTAAAGACTTTTTTTTTTTTTTTTTTTTTTTAACATTGTATTTAGATCAGTTACACACATGTCGATTAATCTCTATAGATTGTAAGTGGTTAACACAGTATTCCACCTCTATGCTTTGTTTTAAAAACCAAATTGGATCGGCCAGTCAGACCGGTTGGACAGGGACCCGGCAGCTTCTCCAGTCCGGTTTAGGTTTAAGAGGGTTTTTGTAATATTTTAAAATTTAAGGGTAATTGTAATTTTATAGGGGTGTTTTGGAGAATGTCAAAAGTTTAGGGATTAATTGGTGATTTTTGGGGGTATTTTGAAATAATTATAATTTTAGGGATTACTTTCAATTTTTTAGGAGAATTTTTGTAATATATTAAAATTTAAGGGATAATATGTATTTTTTTAAAATAAAATTATCATTGATGTCAACGGTCCAACTGGTCGGTCCAAACGGTTGGATCAATTGACCTGTGACCCGAACAGTAAAACGGATCCCTCTGATTCAGGTTTTAAAACAATGTCTTTACGATCATCTACTTAAGCCTGGGGAGCTTTATTTTCCATCAAAGACATTAATACTAAAAGTAAAAATATAATTATTTTTTCATTGGTTAAAAATCAAAGGATAAGTATTACGTGGCTTTCCACCTTTAGTATTAGTGTCATTGATGACCAATAACACTACTGACACTAAAAAAGTTACACCGAATTTCTATACCGATCTACGTATAATGCGCGTCTTAATTTTTTTCTAGTGAACGGCCGTCTATCACATTTGAACAGTCATTCACTCACATGGACATCCGTCCATATTATATGGACGGACGTCCATATACAAGGGACGGGCGTCCCCATTTAAAGGACGTCTGTCCCTGATTAAAATACAATTAAAAAATTTATAAAACATTAAGGACGGTCGTCCATCCATTACTTTTGAACAGGTGTCCACAAATAATGAACGCCCGTCTTTGACCCAAATATGAAAAAAAAAAAATCTTTTGGGACGGTCATCCCTTCTGTTTGGACGGACGCCTGTCCCTTACATTTGGACGGGCGGGCGTCCATTTCAGTCCATACTTTTAATAAAAAAGCAGCGTGGAGCTGGGCATTCTGGGCTCTGCTTTCTTCTTTCTTTTTCTCCTCAAACGCGCTGCCAGCTGCACAATTGCTGTGCTTCTTCCTCCTATATTATGCACCAAAATTCATGAGGACTTAAAAAAGAAAGCATGCAACAAAAGACGGTTGTTTTTCTATAAAGGGATAATCAAAACTAAGAACAAATAAAAATAGTAGTGAATAATACGGAAAGAAACCAAAAAGAGAAAAAAAGGAAGAAGAGGGAAAGGGAAAGGGAACCCACCATCTTTGTTCTTCGCTCCTTTCCAACTTGGGTAAGTACTTGAAGTTGGATCTCTGGTTAGAGAGAAAGAGAAGAAGAGGGAAGAGAGAAAGTTTGATTAGAAAAGAAGAGTGACGATTGGTGCGAGATTTAAAGAGGTGAAAGATAAAGCGTCCAAATTGGGGAGAGAATGGTCTAAACTCATTAGTTAATCTCCCGCTTGCTTTTTGAGCTCATTCAATGAGAACATTGTAACTGAAGCTGCAACTGGTCCAATTGGGAAAGAGCTTTTTGAAAAAGAACAAGAAGACCTTCTAGCTGATCTGAAAGACATTCTGAAAAAGGCTTGTGATCGCCGAGTGAGTTAGTTTCATTATTTTCTGCATATTAGTAAAGGTGTAAAGAAAGCAGTCATCGCCCATCTACTCCATTTTCCATATAATCTTTACTTCAAAATATTTCCTCAAAGATGCTTCTTGAAGGGGATTCTGACTGCAATTTTTCCTCATAAGTCAATGAATTCGTGAAACGAGCCAGATCTGCCAAGATACATGCTTATATTATCAGTCATCTTAGAAAGGAGATGGGGAACGAAAACGAAGAAAAAGAGAGGAGATGGGGAATGAAGACGAAGAAGAATGAGTTTTTGTTTAGAATTTTTTTTATTTTATTAAAAGTATGGACGGGCGTCCATTTGGCCGTCCAAATGTAAGGGATAGGCGTTCATTTTTAATGGACGCCGTCCAAATGTAAGGGACGACTGTTCCAAAGTTTTTTTTTTTTTTTTTTTTTTTTATATTTGGGTCAAGGACGGATGTTTATTATTTGTAGGCGTTCATCCAAAAGTAATGGAAGGCCGTCCATAATGGATGGACAGCCGTCCCTAATATTTTATAAATTTTTTAATTGTATTTTAATCAAAGACAGACATTCTTTAAATGGGGACGTTCATCCCTTGTATATGGACGTTCGTCCATATAATATAGACGGACGTCTATGTGAGTGAACGGTCGTCCAAATGTGATGGATGACCGTTCACTAGAAAAAAATTATAAAAAAATTGAGACGTGCGTTACACGTAAATCGATACAGGAATTCGGTGTAACTTTTTCGGTATCCGTAATGTTATTGCATTAATGACTGCATTGACTTATATCTTTGGGTGGCAAGACAAGCCGTAATTTCATGCCACTTGGCATGAAATGCTGGCAACTTTCAATTGGTTCAATGGATGGCCAAATCCCATATGTACAACTTTAATGCAATTCGAAATTGAATAAAGAATTTCACTTTGGTCCTTCTACTACATCAATCCCCATTTATTTTACATTTAGGTTATACCAGTGAGACCAGTGTTTTTCAATACTAGGATATCACTTAAATCTTAAAGTCTAAAGTGGTCCTGATTCATTAGAAAAATTGCGGGTCTAATCAAATATCACCTCCAATTACAAGTGGAATANTACTTATCACATCAATCCCCATTTATTTTACATTTGGGTATACCAGTGAGACCAGTGTTTTTCAATACTAGGATATCACTTAAATCTTAAAGTCTAAAGTGGTCCTGATTCATTAGAAAAATTGCGGGTCTAATCAAATATCACCTCCAATTACAAGTGGAATATTAAACAGGAATCTTTATTCATCAAAATTTTGTCCCATAAAAGTACTATCAGATATCTTATTATTGAAAATTGAAGTGTTTAGTGTCCTGCTCTCAAAACCTCCCAATAAAAAGCAATTCAATATGACTGCACCCATTAAGTTGCTTGGTTTATTCATTAAATTTGCTCTGGTCTGCTTCAGCATTGGAACAATGAACCATGTTGCCATATGATGTTGAGAAAATTTGCTACCCGCGCAGTCCATCCATTGTAGAAAAGGGGTTTCCGGCGAATCATTGTTTCGCTTTGATCAAGTTCCTTATGACATATTGCAGAATGCCTCCATGATCAAAATAAACCAATTCCACCTATATTGAAGAGACCAAAGCTTTTAGTAAAAGGTGGCAATAAGAGTTTAAAAAAGCACGAGCTTCCGCTTCAAATAAGAGCGAACCCTGGGAAAAGCATAATTAGGTCATTTTTGTTACCTCTGTATCGAATCTTATGATGCATGTGAATGATTTGCCACTGTCTGTAACCACTGTGACATCCTGACCAGGTCTAATTTCACTCACACTGCTTGGAAGATCAATGGTGTACCGTTCATGCCCAGTCAATCCAAGAGTATCAGCATCCTCCCCAGCCTTGAAGCACAAGGGAACGATGCCCATACCCACCAAATTACTGCGGTGAATTCGCTCAAAGCTTTTTGCAATCACAGCTTTCACACCCTGGTTTAGATTACAGTTTCAGAAACTACCACAAGAGTAATAAATGATAAAACAGAAATCAAATGAAATTAGATGCATCATAAGGGTCTACCAGTAACATTGGACCCTTGGCAGCCCAGTCACGAGAACTTCCACTCCCATACTCAGCACCGGCCAAAATAATGCTATCGTGCCCCTCGCTCTTGTACCTCTGTTTTCAGAAGAGGATAAAATTGGAATTCAAAAAAGAAATTTCTTCAATAAAAAGGTTAGTGGGAACTTTTAATCACGACTGAAAAACAAGAACTCATGCTATCTTGTGAATTGTTTTCTTTGTTTCCTCCCACAGGAGCCATATTAGTTGTTATCGAATAGGTGATTTTAGAATCACTACAATGGCAGCATTGACTTTTCTCCAACTAATACTTTGACCACTTTTATCCAATTTTTCCAAATCCGATCATAAAGGAAGAGGCCCAAAATATTGAATATTGACCAACCAAGACATTCTGTTGAGATAAGAAATTACCATGGCAGCATCAAACACAGAGAGCTTTTCCCCAGTGGGAATATGAATTGTTTTAGGCCCAACTTCTCCATTCAACAACTTGTTGACGAGACGAATATTAGCAAAGGTGCCCCTTGCCATAATGTCATCATTACCACGGCGACTTCCATAAGAGTTGAAGTCTCTTCTATCAACACCATGTTCCATAAGATATCTAGCTGCAGGACTGTCCCTGTGGATGCTACCAGCAGGTGAGATGTGATCAGTTGTAATACTATCTCCAAAGTTGAGCAAGCAGTAAGCTCCTTTCACACCATGGGCGCCTGGAGGAGACATGGTCATGCTTTTAAAATAGGGTGGCTCGTGTATATAAGTTGATTTTGGATCCCAAGCATAAAGAGTGCCAGAAGGTACAGATAATTGATTCCACATGGGATTCCCTTGAGTGATAGCTTGATATGTGGCCTTAAACATATCAGGCAGCACATTTGTTTGAACAACCTAAAGACAGTAAAGGAAAAAAAGAAATGAAAATCTAGTAATCTTTCAAATTTTTATGACCCAGAAGTGACACCATAGAAGGTTCAGTAGCTCACCTGTGCAACTTCTTCGTTGGATGGCCAGATGTCCCTGAGATGTATCTTCTTTCCATCTTTTCCCACCCCAATGGGTTCTGTTTCAAAATCAATATTCACCTACAGCATTGCCTCAGATTAGAAATACTTGATAACAAAAATTGCATACAATCAACACAAATGAAGTTTTATACACTATCATTACAGGTAAAGACAAAAAAGTTGAACATAAGTATAAAAAGTCAATTTCAAACACACAATAGTATCTAGATGAACACTACAACAGAATTAGAAGTTTATACAGTATCACTACAAGCATAGAGAAATACAGGAGAAGCATTGAATGTGCATTATAAGAGTTTGCTAGTGCATATTCATTTTCATAGAATAAGAGTTACATACAGTGCCAGCCAGAGCATATGCAACAACAAGAGGCGGGGAAGCAAGATAATTAGCCCTCGTTAAAGGATGAACACGGCCCTCAAAATTACGGTTTCCAGACAACACAGCAGCCGCAACAATATCTGGAATTGTATAAAACAATCAGAGACATGGTCACTTTGAAATATTCTCAAGAGAAAAATCTGAAAGGTGCTATTATAGCAGAAAGTGACCATTTTCAGTGATAGCTGCTGCCACTGCTTCATCAATATCTCCAGAGTTTCCAATGCAGGTAGTGCATCCATAACCAACTATATTGAACCCAAGCTCATTCAAATACTTCTGCAAGCCACTGCAGAGGTAGTTCTTTGACTCAGGGACTTTAAACAAAAACTTTAAAAAAAAAATAATGGGAAAAACTGTTGCAGATTCTTGTAAAGTACCTGTTCTGCAAGTACTTGGTTACAACCCCAGAACCTGGAGCAAGACTTGTCTTAATCCATGGTTTGACCTGTAAAAAGATGTATTGCAGCAATTCATAATCTAAATCACTAGGAGAACAAAATACTCAATACCATATCCTATTTGTATCATCTTTTTTCCAAAAAGTTAGCCTAACTGCAAGAACACTCCTTACAACCAACCACCACCCCTTCCCAGGAAAAAAAGAAAAAGAAAAGAAGATAATGAATAAATAAATAAAAGTTGCTCTAACATAGATTAATACAGAGAACACAAATTTTCAACATGTTCTGAAATTGGATGGTTTTCAAGATTGTGAGTGTGTCTGTGTGCGCGTGTATAAGAATATGTGTGAATTACTAGCATACGGATTAAGGCCTCTTCCTTTCACTCATTTGACCAACCAGTATGTATCCCTTCAAGGACCTTCTCAACTATACCATACTCAATTTCTACATGTAAATAATAGGAAAGCACACACTAATTTTTCACATAGATACCACTCAAACATTGTCAATAGAAGAATGACGATGACAGAAACCAAATTTACTCTAAAATGCAGCACATCTCCCATTATATTCCAGATTTATCAATGAGGAAATGATTATGGCTCTCTAGGTCATAGTTCCTGTTTGACTTCGTATAAATTCTTGTTTTTATTTGTGATTGTATGAAACAATGAACAGAGAGTTGGAAAAAAAAAAAAGGAATAGACAACTAACCTCCAATCCTAGCTCACAAGCTTTCTTTGCAACCAAAGCAGCACCAAGCATTACACTAGGGTTTGAGGTATTTGTGCAACTAGTGATAGCTGCTATAACAACATCCCCATGCCTAAGCTGTGCAGGAGTCCCGTGAAATGAGAACTCCACAACCTTAGTTTGAGCTTCCTTGGGTATAGCAAATCCCTGTAATACCAAACTCACAAAAAAGAAAATAATAATAATAATAAAGAGAGACATAGAAAGCAAGAGAAAGAGAGATAATTCATAAAATTACTTCTATCACTGACAGACTTAGTAAAAATTGACCTAATTGCAAAATTTAAGCCAGTTGTAAAAGGCGGTACAATCGTTTATTGACGTTTGTAACATGGTATCCTATGTCACATTAAACCCTGTTTTTTCATCCCTATAATTAATAAGTGCCCTCTCAATATTATAATTATGTAAAACTAGAAATCATGAAACTTCACTAAACAGAGCTAGCTATGCCTCCGCATGACTAATCTGAGATAGATGTAATGTGGAAGTCACACGATAAAACATAACTAATAGTTGCAATATCACTATCCTTTCAATAATCATCACCTCAATTCCCAGGATTTCATTTCAGTCTCTTGTCAAAGTCTCATCCTTCTAAGTAGCAATTTCAAGATAATTTCTTGATTACAATGAGAATTTTCATCATTAGTCATTGCATGATTCTTTTAAGTCAGAGATAATGACTTTATATCTACTCATACATCGTTGATCGCCAATTACAACACCCCGGTCCCCTGTGCATGACACCTATGCCCAAGACATGTCCATAAGGTTCTGTCTAAGTTTAGACAGTGTTCTCACCTTGAATCCAACTCTATTATTCAAGCATGCATGCCAATCTGCTTTCATTTCTCTCAAAGTAACTCGATCATGTGGCCTGCAATACATTGACAACCAGAGACATGCCATAAAAAATAGGAATACTAAAAATGGGAAAATAAATGTTAGCTCTACCTCTTGGGCCCTGAAATGCATGGTTCGACATCCTCAAGATTCAGTTCGAGACAAGCAGAGTACACTCTCTCGCTCTGAGGCTGAGCTCAGTGACAAATTCAGAGTCAAAAACTATATTATTGAACATGTTGGATAAAGAAGGATAGTAGAAAGAATAATAATAATATTAGTATAAAAAGCAAAAAGGGTTTGAATTAACCTCACTGTAGTCGACAAACAACTTATTAGCCCGCAAATAGGATTCTATCATGGAAACCTGCATTATGCTAATGAATCAGTCCATCATAAAAAGCCAGATCACATCAAACAAAATTTATGCTGATGGCGTACTGTGTCATCACTTCGGCCAGTCAGTTTCAGATAATGCAGAGTGACATGATCCACTGGAAAGAATCCCATGGTTGCACCATACTCAGGAGACATGTTGGCAATAGTGGCACGGTCAGCTAATGAAAGTTCGCTCATGCCTTCCCCTGCATACATGACACCAGCATCAGTAACTAATTGACTTTAAAATTAAATACATGGACAAATCAAATGGTTATATTAATGCACATACCATAAAATTCCACAAACTTGCCAACAACCCCATGCTTCCTAAGCATTTGGGTTACTGTCAAAACCAAATCAGTGGCGGTCACACCATCTCTCAGTTTTCCAGTTAGTTTAAACCCAACAACACCTGGCAAGACCATGCTCATAGGCTGCATGCGAAAAAAGAAAAGAAAATAAATATTCCTTGACTAAAAACCACAGAAGCAAATCAATCTAAAGAATAACTTGAAGCAAAATGAGTTGGAAAACAAGAAAGAATATTTTTATTGATCAGCATTGTAAGAAGGCGATTAAATAAACATAACCTAACCTACATGGAATAGCTTACGCAAAATACACAAGTGCTAAATTTTTTAATCCGAAAACCTTTTTTATTATTAACTAAGTAAAATAAAATATGTTAGTTACATCCATGATTACAGACCCCTAACTAGAATCAAACATTCTGTAAAATACTTCCAACTTAATAGGAGAAACACTGAAAAACCAGCACAACGTTTGGTCCCAAGAAGTCTAAATGGTATTTCAAAGTAAATTATTTTACCTGGCCAAGCATTGCAGCCTCTGCCTCTATTCCACCAACTCCCCAGCCAGCAACACCTAATCCATCAATCATAGTAGTATGTGAATCTGTTCCCACAACACTATCAGGATAAAGCATCCCATCTGTGTTGAACACAACTCTTCCAAGGTATTCCAGATTGACCTGTGGTTGATATCACAACTCTTAATAACTTATCAAGACATGAGAAAACAACATAATGGAAACACAAGACATTAATTTTCAACTACTAAAAAAAATCCCATAAATTATCACTCCCACCAAAGATATATCATTCTTTATGTTACCTAATATACAATCCTCACATAATGCTTCTTCATTACCTGGTGAACAATTCCTGATCCAGGTGGCACAACAAGCATGTTGTGGAAAGCATTAGAACCCCACTTGAGAAAAGCAAATCTCTCTTTGTTCCGGTGGAACTCAAGTTCCATATTTGCGTGCACTGCATTTTCTGATCTTGCCACATCAACCTGAACTGAATGATCGATAACAAGATCAACAGGAACCTGCATGAATTACAATCCTCATCAAAAACCAAATGTACCTTCAAAATTAAAGTGCTTTTAACAATATTCATCCACAAAAGTTATACTCACCAATGGATTAATTTTATTAGAATCACCACCAAGTTTGTTCATAGCATCTCGCATACATGCAAGATCAACAACAGCCGGAACACCAGTAAAATCCTAAGAAAAAAATAACAAAAACATTGCATTATCCTTAATCAACAACATAAATATTCACATTACAGTTACTTAATCAATTAACAAAATCGAAGCTAGAGTAACATTACACATTATATTTATCATTTACCTGAAGAAGCACTCTAGCTGGCTTAAACGGAATCTCAACTTGCTTCGGTGCCGTATTTTCCCAATCAATAATCTTCTCAACATCCTTACTCTTAACTTCAAACTCATCGCAGTTACGAATAGCCGATTCCAAAAGTATCCTAATGGAATATGGAAGCTTATCTGCAACACAATCCAAATCTCCTCATCAATTCAATTAAACTCTTCTTTTATTTTTTCGGTTTTTCATTTAAAAAATTAAATAAATAAACTAACCTCTACTTGTTTGGTTAGAATATTTGAAAAGTTTCCATCACACGTAACCTAATAAAACAACTTGACCTACTCTCTTATCGTCCTAGGAATCCAGATTATCATCAACCACATATCACAATAATTTTCTCACTAAACTTTCCCCCCGTTTCTCATAAACCAAACAGGAAATAAACAAAAACACTAACCGATTCGAGGATCGTTAAGAGCAGGCAAGCTATAGTACTTGCCAAATTCACCACCGTCGGGCCTCTCGAGAGTTTTCAATATGCTCTTAAAAGGATTCCCCGTCGCTATCAAATCATAAAAACTCGAAAATCGGATTAAAATAATCAATCTAAAATCGTCAAGACTCCAGTGACACGTGAAGAAAATTAAATTAAATAATTTCAAAAACCGATAAATAAACGAAAACTCACCCATACTGAGACGATTTGGATTGCTAAAGAAATGTAAATCTGTAGGTAAAAGCGAGATCTAAACGATAAGGGGAGTAGGTGAGCTATGAAGTTTTCGAACAAAAGATATTTTGACTAAAATATCGTCACTGCAGTGCATCTTCAGCTCATTTTTTGGTATATTTTATCTTATTCAGTGTCTCGAATCCGATCTTGGGATACTAACAAGTTCGTCCCTTAGGAAAGTTTTTAGTAACATTTTGGTCCTGAGGTTTGCAAATTACATTACAGGGAGCCAGGGAGGGAATAAAACGTTGTCATCTAAACAATTAAATAGGACTATAAGTTTCCACTATAAACGTTAGGGTTGAAATTGTTATTCACCAGCTTTTGAGTAGTATGCTGACGTGGCTGCCGAATTATGCATATGGTAGATTCATGTGAATAACTTTTTTCCGCTTCTGGCCAAACAATTGGTGACGTGGCACTACCGTAAGGTTTAACCCCACCCAGTTTCGGTAACGGTTTTCATGCAATCTGGTTGGGTTTTTATTTTTATTTCTTTTAACAAAATGGAATTAATTTAAGAAAATAAAACATAAATTATCGTTAGTGATAAGCTTCCTTTTAACTTTTCATTTAAAAAATAAAATGTGATACAAATATTCTATGTGTCTTTTAATGTTTTAATATTTTAAAATATGTTTAATATGACATTTTAAAAAAATTATAGAAAATCGTATAAACGATTTTTAATATTTTTTATCTTATTAACACTAGTATTTAAAATTGAATCCGAAAACTTTCTTCAAAAATATTTTAATTATTTTCTTCAAAAAAAAAAAAAAAAGGTCTATTTGATTGAAGAGATGTTTTAATCTATGTGCTATGTCCTTATGCTATATATGGACATGTTTGCTACACAACATAGTGTAACAATAAAGACATTATATAACACTAAATAATGCAATATCGTGTTTGATGATAAAACTTTTTTTTTTTTTTTTGGTTACCGGGGGTGTTCAGGCTAACTTACATGCATCTCGACTAATCCCTCAACATCGAACAAAGCTTCCAAAACAAGACAAGCTTTGCTGTGTCTGTGATCAACAATATTAACAGTCGTTCTTGTGATTCGAACCTAAGACTACAGAGGAAGTAAATCCCTTGGCCCCGAGTCTTTTACTACTTGGTCAACTCATTGTTGGTTTTGATGATAAAAACTGCATAACATTAAATAATGCTAAGCCTAAAATATTACAATATATTCCACATTAAATAAATAAATATTGTCAATTAATTTAACATTTATAAATTTAAATATATAGTTGCCGGTCAAACTATAATCAATGTTGATCAACGATATTAACCATTATTGACTGTCATTGACTACTATTGTCTGACATTGATTAATATTTGATCAGTGTTTGATCGATGTTAATCGATGCTTGAGTGTTATTAACCAATTATTGTTGATTGGTATTTTGACTTTTATTAATCAGCATTGACCATTAACTTGTTCAACTTTTAACTTTTTTTTTTAATTTATTAGTTAAATCATAATTAAAATATATATTAGTTTTTAATAAATGAATTTTTGTTAGAAAAAATAAAATATTTTTTTACCATGTAATTCATACACCAAATATATCATAATATAAAAATAATGAAATATTGAAATGTAATGTTTTTCCAAACATAGTACAATATTAGTATAATATCATAATATACAATAAAATATTATACTATGTAATTTTTTAATACTATGTTATATCCTATGCCAAATATATTAAATTAAAAAATATAAAAATACTATGTTCTTAATACGTTAATAAATTTTTTGTCTCAACGAAAGTGTATATCGATGTAATAATATTAAAGTTGTTAAAATTATTTTATTGTGACATTACAAAGACAATTTTGTATTTTTATGTTTCAAAATTTTTGTCGTACCTCGTGTCGAGTTAAATATTGGCTGAAGCGGGTTAAATTAATTCACCCTTCAAGTTTACTGAAACTCCTGAGCCCCCAAGTATTTGATAAAAGTGATAGTTACCCCCTTAATCCGGAAGGGAAGTTTACATAGACTTGAACAGCAGCACAGTGGCAGAGTTGGCTATTCACACTGTAATGCAATACAAAAGTAATAATTCAAAAAATAAACATGAAATAAATTTATAATATAAAAAAGCCGACCAACACCATCCACCACAACAAATCGCTACCAACCACAACCAAATCAGCGGCACAAAATCTGAAATAAAACACTAACACAAGACGTGAATCTCCAACTATTGCATCAATAAAAATCAACCACTCCATGGAACTTAAATCCACGTAAGCAAAACCAAAATTATCCTGGCCAAATTAAAATAATAATAGTAACAATTATTGGTTAATAGTTAGTTGAGCAGTTAGTTTAGTAAAGGTTAAGTTAAAGTAACAGTAGTTAGTATGTCTAGTTAATTCATCTTTGTATTAATTAGTTTTACTGTAGCTAAATCTAGTTGTAAGCTACTTAAATATCCAAAATGTAATAAAAGGTATCAAACTTGAATAAAAAAATATAGTTGTTCAATTTCTTCTCTCTCGGTCAAAGAGTTTTCACTTCTTCTCTTTGTAAAATGGTATCAGAGCTCTGATCCGAGCTTATTCAAGCAAAATTCCGCAAATCTTCCTTCAATTAGATTGTTTTTTCTTCTATCTCATTCAATTGATTCAGAATCTTTGAATTTTTGTTTGAAATTTCTTCTTGAAAGAGTTCTTTCTTTTGACTTAAATTCTTGATCAACAATGAGTGGATCTACATACACTAGTGTTCAAGGAGCTACAATGGTAGCAGATTACAATAATTCACTATACATGCATCCTTCTAATACTCCTGGAAGTCAAATAGTGAGTCAGATTTTGACTGGAACAGATAACTATGGACTTTGGAGTCGTGCGATGAGAATAGCGCTTTTAGCCAAGAACAAGTTGTGCTTTATAGATGGCTCATTTGCTCATCCTCTTGATTCTCTTCAGGCGCAGCAATGGGACCGGTGTGATGCAACGGTGAGGTCATGAATTATGAACACAATTTCGAATGATTTGGTTGCTGGAGTTATTCACAGGAACAATGTTGCTACAATATGGAAAAATCTTCAAGAGACCTATAACAAGATTAATGGTTCAAGAATTTATTCAATAATGAAAGAAATTGCTATGATGCAACAAGGTATATCTACTATTCAAGTATATCATACAAGATTGAAGATACTTTGGGATGAATTTGCTTCAATGCTCCCACCTGCTAATTGTGCTTGTCCTATTTCTAATGTTACTAAAGAACACGAGCAAACTCATAAAGTTATACAGTTTCTTATGGGTCTTAATAGAGTTATTCAATAGTTCGTAGTTCAATCTTACGAATGAATCCATTGCCGACAGTCAACATTGCTTATTCAATGTTAAACCAAGAAGAAAAACAGCGAGGAATTACCACTGTTGTTAACACTCAGTCTAATGTCTCAGCTTTTTTTACTCACAATGCTAAACTTGTTAACAATTATGCTCAAGGTACCAAACAAAAGAAACCTATGGAATGTGAATATTGTCATTTGGCTAATCACAAAGTCATTTTTTGTTGGAAGCTACATGGATATCCTGATAATCGACAAAGAAATAAACAAAAGAAAGGGACAAATTATAGGACTCCTGCTGCAAATCATAGTGAATCTCCTGTGATGGATGATCCACAAAGGACTTCTACATCTATGAGCAAACCTTCAAGTCTTTTTACTCCAACACAGTACCAAGAAATTCTGAAACTTCTTGGCAAAGATGGTTCAAGTATTAACTCTAACCTGGCTCAGGCAGACTCTAAAATCACTGCTAATGTAGCAGGTAATATCACTTCTCTTCTTGGCACAATTTTACATAATGCATGGATTCTTGATACAGGAGCTAATGACCATATGACTTTTGCATTTCAAAGTTTGGAAAATGTTTCTCCATACAACTCTTCAAAAAAACCTAGTGTTAAACTTCCAAATGGTATGACCGATGTTACCTATACTGGTGATATATCCCTTTCCTCACAGATAAAACTCCAAAAAGTTCTTTTTGTCCCTCACTTTCACTATAACTTGTTATCTGTTTCTAAATTTTGTAAAGACAATCATGTTACTGTAATATTTTTTCCTCATTTTTTGCTTGTTTCAGGACTTGTGGACTGGGTCAATGATAGCGATGGGTAAAGAATATCATGGGCTCTACTATCTGGTTATGCCACATGCTAATAATTTGTCTTACTTTGTTATAGAAAATAAATCAGATTGTACACCAATGTTGACTATTTGTACTAGTGTTAATGCTACTGTTTGGCATCATAGATTAGGACATGCATCTTTTTCTAGAATAAATTTGATTCCTTCTCTTAAGCACATCTTTGTACAGGAATCATTTCACCATTGTAAAATTTGCCCTATGGCTAAGCAATGCAGAAAATCTTTTTCACATACCCTGTCTTCTTCAGCTCATATTTTTTATCTTTTACATATTGACGTTTGGGGTCCTTACAAGGATCCAACATACAATGGTTTCAAATATTTTCTTACATTGGTTGATGATCATTCACGAGTAACCTGGACCTTTTTAATGGTTATGAAATCTGATACTTTTCATGTGTTCAAACAATTCATTTTGATGATTCAAAATCAATTTTCTCTTACACCTAATAAAATTAGGATAGACAATGGAACTGAGTTTTTTTAATGAAGAATTTGACATATTTTTAAGTTCTCTTGGTATAATTCATGAGCATTCATGTCCTTACACACCCCAACAAAATGGGGTTGTAGAAAGGAAGCATCGACATATACTGAATATTGCAAGAGCACTAAAATCTCAATCTCATGTTCCTATTCATTTCCGGGGAGACTACATTCTCACTGCTACATACATACTTAATAGAGTTCCTACATTTCTTTTAAATAATAAATCTCCTTATGAAATTCTTTTTCATAAAACACCAGACTTGACCAATTTAAGAGTATTTGGATGTCTTTGTTATGCCACTGTTTTACCCAACACAGATAAATTTAGTCCAAGAGCTTTACCTTGCATTTTTTTGGGTTATCCTACTGTTCAAAAAGGGTATAA